GGGGGGGGGGGGGGGGGGGGGGGGGCTGTGTTGGCTCCAAAGTAAGTGTCAGGGGACTTTCTGTTGGATGAACATGTGGTGGATCACCGTCTAAAACTCCTGTTGCTGGGGTTAGCTAGGTCAGTTTATTTTCTTTTCTAAGTTGAGGTCCTTGCCAAAAACAACCCATTTTCCTTCCATCCAAAGATAGATATGGAAGAAGCTGTGCTTTTAGGAAAGGATCCTTTCTAGAACAAGGCATTGGCAGAATGCACTGGAGTTTAAGCTGAAATCGCTTTCAGAGAACAAGGGACACCGAGGGATGGAAATTATCCAGGACAGCTATATTCTACTTAATGCAAAATGTGTGGCAAGTAGAAATGGCAACAGAAAACTCTGTTGGACCAGAAAGCACTTGTGAACAGTTCAACAGATAGAATCAGAACAATTGATATAACAGGTAGAAAGACCCACAAGGTGAGAATAAAATCCACTTGAGTAGTGTTCAGGACTTAGGGGATGAGTTCCACCTGGATCCTGCTAGGATCTGTCTCTTGGTTTTAGCAGGAAGGTTTGGGGCAGCAACCCCATGCAAACTGTACATAAGTCTTTGGACTTAGGCTGACCATGCTGGGCTAGGACGCAGCGGGAGAGCCCTTTCTTCCAGTCCTCTGACCCTCGGCGTGCTTTTCAGTTGAAGGGCGAGACTTTGGCGTCATGCAGTTCAAGCGCTGGCTCCCCCAGGTGGGGGCCCAGTACAGCCGAGTGAAGCCGAGAGTGCGCAGAGGGAGGAGCCGGGGAGCTGCGTCGCTGGCAACGCCCCTGGATGTCATGTTGGGTAAGCAGAGATGGGTTTCTGGGTTGGGTGCCAAGGTCCTGGAAAGGGTTGGAATGCCAAGGGAGCTTTGGAACATGTTTTGTCTTCCTTTTCTGGGCATGGGGGGATCCGTTTGGAAGTTTCTTTTCACACTGTGCAAATTGAAGTCCAAAGAAGGGAGGCCAGGCCTCATCTTGAGCTTCAGGAGGATCTTCTTAGGCAATAATTCCAAGGCTTGGGACCTCTTGCTCCAGAGTCCACTGGAGTTGGATTTGAATGAATGAGTGAATGAATGAATAAATAACATACTGGCCCTTGGCTACAACCAAAATGAGGTGGCGCTCTTCTTCCTCGCTCAGTCAGACAGCTGCTGGACTACTGTCCCCTTCCATCTTCTTGCCTTTTCCAGCCCCCTGTAGACCACCAAGGCCACTTCTGGGTTAATCATTCTTCAGCCTTCCCCCCACCTATTAACCTACTTCTGTTCTGCTTGTGACTCAGGGACTGGGATTAAGGGAGGGTTAGGTTAGACAGAATCCTTTCTGTCACACCACGGGGGAGTGGTAACATTCCCTGGAGCTAATTCATCAAGCCGAATTGCAAGTGCTGATGTGCCACGGGCTCCCTACATGTTCTGGCTTAGTCATGCGCCACTGCGAACTTCAGTGGAGCCACATCACAAAATCTGCAGCATCTTTCCCCAACATTTGGCTAGAACAGAACTCCATCCCCCATGCTTCATAAGTGACAGGTTGCTACAGTATAGCCTGAACATGTTTAAAACAAACGGATACCTTCATAACTGCTTTCTTCTTGGACTTCTTTATCTGAGATGCAGGGAGCAGCCCTCTCAAAAGAATATTTCACGTAGACCGGACTCGGTGCTCCTTGGCATCTCCTCTCAGGTAAGAGCACACATCTGGGATACTGAGCTCTAGGTGGCCAGGATGTTTCTTCTGGGAACGAAAGGTGTTGGCTCCTGGGCAGAAAACAAAAGGTGGGCAGGTGAGTGATGCAGCACTGAGGGCAGCCACCCCATAGACCAAGGCAAAGCTTCAGAATGTGCAAAGATGAAAAATTGATGACCTTCCAGATGTTATGCTCCTAGTCATTGCCATTGCCCAGGCCAATGTTTCTCAACCTTGGCCACTTGAAGATGTGTGGACTTCAACTCCCAGAATTCCCCAGCTAGCATGGCTGGTTGGGGTATTCTGGGGGGTGAAGTCCACAAATCTTCCAGTGGCCAAGGGTGAGAAACATTGGCCCAGGCCATCTGAGACTGCTGGGAATTGTGGTCCAATACCTGAAGGCTCACAGAAGCTCCCCTGCTCTTATTCCCTCTTGGAAAAGCTTCCAGGTTCTCCTGTCTTGGGGGAAGCCACTGATCTGCCTCATAAATGGACCCGAGAGCCTAAGAACCTTTCCTTGTTTATTCCAAGGATTACAAGAAGCCAACTCTAGAAGTTCCAATATTTAACACCAGCACCAAGGATCTGTTTTATATCAGAACAGACTATTTGTTCACCTATTCCACCTAATAGGAGTTTTGGGGACTCTTGAGAAGAAAAGGGTCTTTTCTATCCCCCACTCCCTCCTTCACCTTAATATTCAGGGACTGGAACCATAGTCTTCTGCTTGGAAACATGTCTTCTTCCACAAAGCTATGGCCATATCTACTGCAGGATTGTGGTCTAGACTTATAAATTGTGTTGATCCCCAAGGACATCTGTGGCCTCCAGGGTTCCTCCAAATTTTGCCATCATGCTGTAATTTTGAATGTGATGAGAGAATGGAGTTATTAAATACAAGGGAGTAAATATATAATGAATCAAGTGAACTAAAACTGATTTGATTTCAGCTTAATTTTTTCTGGGCCAACTTGGTAGTGTTGCCCACAGATCTTAGCATGAGAGCTACATCATTCTTCTCACATCTTTGTTTTCCCCCGCTTTACAGGAACTTCACCCATTATCAGGGAATGTTACAAGGGGCAGCATCTCAGCCTGCTTCCATCAGGCAGAACCAGATAGCACTGAAGAACTTAGCAACTTCTGGTAAACTTCTGGACCTCCTCCCTTGAAGGGGTGGTGGGGTTATGAAAGTCCATCAGATACAACCCATGTATTCTGAGCCACACGTATCTATAAGAATAGATTTTTCAAAGCAGTAACAAGGATCCAGTCTCCTTCTCACCTTTCCTTTTCTTGCTCCTCCTCAGAAGCCATAAAAAAACACAAGGAAAGCCTAGCTGATTGGTTTCGCCTGCAGCCCAATGAGGAGAGACAGTTTGGTCCTTCCTTTGCACTGGGTGCTATCCACATCAATCCAGTGATCCGGGAGAGTTCCCTGGAGGAAATCTTGAAACCCTCTCCAGATCTGACAATCCAGAACCAACTCCAGGCCTCTTGCTGTCATACCATTGGACTCCAGAACCTTTTTGACACGGATCCCTGTGGACAGCAAGTGAAGAATGTGGTTCTCTATGGGACGGTGGGCACAGGGAAAAGCACCCTCATCAAGAAGATGGTGATGGACTGGTGCTATGGGCGCCTGCCCCGTTTTGAGCTGCTCCTTCCCTTCTCCTGTGAAGATCTTTCTCAGGGCAACACACCCCTGTCTTTGCGCCGCCTAGTTACCAAGAAATACCTCCACCTCCGGGATATGGCCCCACTGCTGGGCTCCAGCAACCTCAAGGTCCTCATCATCCTCAATGGCCTTGACCGCCTCAACTTGGACTTCCGCCTGGCCCGCACGGAGCTTTGTTGTGACCCCAATGAACCCATCTTGCCATCTGCTATTGTAGTCAACCTGCTCAGAAAGTACATGATGCCTGAGGTTTGTGGTTAGGGACTGGCAGATGATCAGGTTGGACCCTTTGCCCTCCCTCCTCTGTTGTCTTTCTTCCTGCTTTAGCCCAAGGGGACAGCTTGTTAGATTGTTACCCTTAAGATATGCAAATTCTGGTTGCTTTGGATGGAATCCATCTCTACTAAGCAATGGGAATCAAAGGTTTTTATTTGCCTAAAGGAAACCCTTAAAATATTCACACCCTTCATTAGGTGATCTTTGTCTCGCTATCTCTTACCTTTGAACTCATGGGAAGACAGGTGGGATACAAATGTAATGAACACTAATAACTATTGATGATGATGATGATACCTTTCAGCTGGTAAAGGAACTAAACTCTGTACCAGTTCTCTGTTGTTGAGTCCCATAATTAGGGCTCATAATTGCATATATTGCCCTTCTCCTGCTGTTCCACCATGAAGGCCATTTAAACCCTACTATGCCTGTGACTTGTGATTAACTCCAGTTTATTTCCATTCCTCCAGGCAAGCATCATCGTCACTACACGCCCTTCGGCAGTGCGTCGGATCCCCAGCAAGTTTGTGGGACGCTATGTTGAAGTCTGTGGCTTCTCTGACATCAATCTCCAGAAGCTTTACTTCCAGACGCGCCTACAGCAGCCTGAGTGTATTGGAATCTCTGGTCCACCGACAGCAGAGCAGGCGAGTGAGAAGGACAACCTTCTGGAGATGCTTTCAAGGAATCTGGAGAGGCACAACCAGATTATGGCTGCCTGCTTCCTTCCGTCTTACTGCTGGTTGGTGTGCACTACCTTGCACTTCCTTTATTTTACCAAGACAGTACCTCCAGCTCAAACTCTCACAGGGATCTACACCAGCTTCCTACGACTCAACTTCAGTGGGGAAGTTCTGGATAGCACAGATCCCTCCAACATCTCCATGATGAAGTATGTGGCCAAGACAGTGGGCAAGTTGGCCTACGAGGGGGTGATGTCTCGACAGACTAGCTTTACAGAGAAGGACCTCCGCCGCTGCTTTGAGGTGGAGATGAAGATGGAGAGTGAGCTTAACCTCCTGAACACCTTCCGGAGTGACGTCTTCCGCTTCTTTTTGACCCCCTGTGTGCAGTCAGGCAAGGAGCACACTTTTGTCTTCACCATTCCTGCCATGCAAGAATACCTGGCAGCTCTGTACGTGGTCTTGGGGGAGAAGAAGACCCTGGTGCAACGGGTGGGCAAGGAAGTCTCTGAAGTTATTGGAAAAGTGAGCGAAGATGTGGCTCTGGTGCTCAGTGTTGTTTCCAAGTTCTTGCCATTGCGCATCCTGCCACTTCTCTTCAATCTCATCAAGATGTTCCCCCGCTATTTCAGCCGGTTCAGCAGCAAGGACCGTGACACCATCGCCCGCACCATGGCAGTGGAAATGTTCAAAGAGGAGGACTACTTCAATGATGATGTCTTGGACCAGATCAACTTCAGCATTCTTGGGGTGGAAGGCCCCATGCGCCACCCAGATGAAGCTTCCGATGATGAGGTCTTTGAACTCTTCCCCATCTTCATGGGTGGGTTGCTGTCATGGCGTAACCGGGCCATCCTGGATCAACTGGGCTGTTCCATCAAGAACCTGGCTGCTTTTGAGATTGCCAAGGCAATGAAGAAAACGGTCATCCGAAATAGCCGTAAGGGCTTGCCACCATCTGAGCTGATGGACTATCTCTTTTTTTTGCATGAGTTCCAAAACGAACGTTTCACAGCTGAAGCTATCCAATCCTTGAGGACCATCAACCTCTCTTCAGTGAAGATGACCCCTCTCAAATGTGCAGTCCTGGCCTCAGTTGTGGGCACCACGAGCCACAACGTGGAGGAGCTAAATCTTGCCTCTTGCCATCTTGACGTCGACAGCCTGAGGACCCTCTTCCCGATCTTGCTACGATGCAAGAAACTCCAGTGGGTATTGTCCTGCTATAATTTAGCACAAACCACACAATATACATTGGGATTAAGCTTCAATTATGATATGCAATCAAACCTAAGGAACTTCATATAGCACTGTAATAATTATGAAGTTTCACCAGGAATTTTTATATACAGTAATTACATGTGTTTAACCCATGTCTTTTTGAATTCATGGGGTTTTTTTTTAAGAAAGTGAATACAAAAAATACATTTGGTTACTTCTTAGAAATACCAATGTGCCATTCTTATTATATCCCCCTTTTCTGGCAAATTTATCATATTTATTTGAAGGGAAGTTGACCCTGAATTTAAAACAGTACTCCCACAAACAATTGAGCAGAAAATATTGGTATTCCCAGCAAATCTAAGAGAACATCCTGTGCCAGCCTCCCACCCCACCTCACCTGCTACCTGCAGGTAGATTATCTGCAGCAAAAGCCTAGTCTTGTTTTCAGGAAAATTCAGTAATCGTTTGGTGAATTGATATTACTGTGTATTTTTTAATGGCCAGCAAATTGCAGTCTTGACTTTGACCAGAAGGTGGCAAAGTGAGATAGAAAGTTAGGAAGTCCTTTTATTGTTGAAATTGTGGCCAGGAGAAGATGACTCTGAGAGTCAGGGAGCTTCCTGGGGCAGTGTTCCATAAGCTTTGGTGTACTGCATACCCCATCATCCCTGCCAGCTTGGTCAATGGGAGCAGAGCCCAATGCACCAGGAAAACTGACATAGAATGCCAGACTTGCAATTCCAAAACTGTTCTGCTATCTCCTCCAGCTTGCAGCTCAACAGTCTGGGCCCAGAGGCGTGCAAGGAGATCCGGAATCTGCTTCTGCATGACAAATGTGTGGTAAACACCTTGCGGTGAGTGTGAAGGAGGTGTGGCTTGAGGGAGCACAGCTTCCACCCTGGTGAGGCAGTCAAGGAGAGCTGTATTTTCCATGGCTGAGTGACTTCCGTTCCCTTGGCAGATCAAAACCAAACTCTTACTCAAAGCAGAAGGAGAAAAGAATGAGCGAGAGATACCAAAGCTGGTTGGGAGCAAGTCTCTCCAGGCCCAATCAGATCTCTGAATTCGTTGAGATGTTCTGCCTAAATAAATGTCTCCCCTCCCTCTCTGACCTGCTGCCCTTCAGAGAAGCTTTAATTGCAACTCCAGGTGTGACCTGCTGGTGAGGAATTGTGTCATCCCCACCTTTCTGGAGAGCAGCAGGTTGGAGTGGGTGAAATTGTAACCTGCCTTGGATGTGTACATTAGATGCAGGATTATCCAAGCTCATCTGTTTTGCTGGGTGTATGTTCTTGGAACATACACTGGCTGGAACTCCCTATGTGCCTAGAATGCACCCTGTAGATAATTCATGCAACCATTATTTGCAGGGGTGGCAAGCTATCACTCTGGTTGGCCAATACAAAATTTGATCATGTGTGAACAAGGTGCTGGATTGCACCAAGGGGACAAAAGTGAGACGAGAAGAAGATTGCAGAACTTTTGGAAGGAGATGCTGTCTTCTACTACTGCTGATCTTGTCAACAAACATATCAGTCATAAGACTCTGGGGATGGCAGGAATGAGGGGAACTGTAGGCCAGCCCATCTAGAGGACATCTGATTAAGGAAGGCTGGGCAGTGGGAAAGGTGATGACTTCTCCTATTTTGAAGTTTACTGTGACCTCCTCAGGCTTGCTGACAACCCACTGACAGAGCAGGGAGCCCTCTACCTTGCTGAAGGCCTGGCAGGCAACAGTTCTTTGAGAAATCTCTCGCTACTTCACACCTCTCTGGGGAACCAGGGCGTAAAGGTGATCACCCAGCACCTGACTCAGAACCAGCACCTGCAGGAGCTTGATGTGGCCTACAATTCGCTGACCGATGAAGCTGCGCTGGCCCTGGTAGAGGAGGCCAAGAAACATGCGACACTACAAACAGTGCAGTGAGTTTCAGCCTTTTCCCATGCCTCTTAGTTGAATCTCCCTGGCACATGTGGAAAGGCATGGCGTTCTGTTATGACTTTGGGTTGCTGAGAATTTTTGCAGAGGGTGTCTTCTTGCTGGATATGGCTCTCCGAGATCATGGGCAGAGAGGAGGAAATTTCCCATTACCTAGTTTGACTTTCATAGCAGAAGGCAATGACCGTGATGGGCCTTAGCAGCAAGAGACAGGAGCAGACTGAAAGCCTCTGGGCTGGCTTTTAAAAGAAGTCAATCATGTAGGGATCCAAAATTATGTACCTTTAACGTTTACCCTCGGCAGAATCGGAGGAGCACATTATGCAATTACCAAAAGTCTATTCACTCTTTACTTTGATGAATGGAGTTTCACTGCTAATTATTCAGTACAAGTTAGGATCTTTGATTTGAATTTGAATAAAACAGAAAATACACCATTGGATGGTGGGATTGGAATAAGGGCTTATGACAGCTTAAATGGGAAGGAAGATTGCCCATAAAAATCTTATCTCCTTTGAGTTTGTTTTGGCCTTTGAGGGACGCTGCTTTTGAATACTTCCTCATGCTAAAACAGCAAACACAACCACCTTGCAGATGGGAAACGAGCTCCTCAGGGAGAAGGCCAACAGGCAGCCCTGAAGCCTGGTGATTTGCAGGGAATATTTAATGTCATGAAGTTTTTAAAACTGTGCCTCCCATTCAAGGATGTTATCATTTCATTTTATTGCAATGTTCTCCAACCTGGCCCCTTTCACGTACGTTGGGGATGACTTCCAGAATTCCTAACTCTGGAATTTGCAGCCAAGGGTACCCAGTTGGAGCTGGCTGTTCAGCTCACATGGACGTGTCCTGCTTCTCACTTTTAAAGCTTCCCTCCTCTTCCTCCTCCCCAGTTTGTACTTCAATGAGATCAGTGAAGAAGGCAAGCAAGCTCTGCACGAGTTGCGCAAGGACCGTGACGGCATCAAAGTGCTCATTTTCCTGACCATGGGAGCAGACGTGTCCGACTACTGGGCCATCATTCTGAACGTGGTCCAGAAGAACCTGCCCATCTGGGACCGGGAGCGGGTGCAACAGCATCTGGGGCTGCTGCTGGAAGATCTGCAGTGCAGCCGCCGCCAGACGGTCAACCCCTGGAAGAAAGTCAAGTTCATGAGAGTGGAGAGTGAGGTCAAGAGGATGCTGGGTCACATGCAACGGGGTGCTCTTTGACCCTCTGTTCCTTGGAGCTGTCTGGAAGCAGAGCACTGGATTGCTGATATGTGGGCTTCTTACCACGTCATCGATGCACCAGTTGACTCAGATGCTGAGGAAAATCTGGTTGGCCACCATGGGTACCGGACTAAATTGGCTAAGCTGTCTAAGGGCTCTTCTGACATTGTTATGAAATTAAGTTGGCAGATATTGTAGACACATCTGCAAATCAAAGACTGAATCAGTTATCCATCTCACATATCAGGCGGCCTCCTGCCTTAATCTCATCTCTATGTTTGCTGCTTTAAATCAGCCTTTGCAACCTGTTGCCTTCCAAGCATGTCGGACTACAGCACCCATCACTTCCAGTTTGCATGGATGTAGTCTGATACCTCTGGAGGGCAGTAAGTTGGAGAAAGTAGATCCCTACAAACTTTTGTCATGTTACAGCGCATGGTGTGCATTTTTTAAAAATTATCCAACAACCCAGAAGTTGAGTGCAAGATCGCTTTGTGACCTCACAAGCGCTTGCCGTTTGGTGCTATGCATAGTTGTTCCAAACCCACCGTACTGACTTTCCCATAATTTACTCTGGGGAGAAAATGGGTTAGTTGCAGTTGATACTAAATTATAAAAGTGATCTTACCAGCCAAATGATATTTCATTGAATACGCTAGAGATAATGTAGGTATTTTTATGTGCTTTCTCTGATGGGGTTGGCGAGAAAAATTGATGCTGACCCAAAGTTTTCCTGTGTCTGCAATTCAAAGAGGGATGTTGTTATTCTCTCTATCCCCCAACGTTTCCCATGGCACCCTTTCCCTCTCGCTCCTTCCATCGGTACCACATACAAAATACCTCACATCTTATTCTTCATCACATAGTGACTTTTCTCCCATTTATTAAAATTTGCACACTTGGCAGGAGGGATATTACACCATATCTGGATCTAAAGAGATGAATGGTTTTGTCATATCAGTGAGGACTAGCAGCATGTGGGATTTGGTGGCCTATAGCCCTGCCATTTTCTTTTGCTTTGGTGAGGGGGGTCCTTTCAGCTTTTTCTATGCAAAGTTTTCCCCTGTGCCTCTTTTCCCCCATGGGCGATTGGCTGGATTCTCTTGGAAGAATGCAGAGGAATGTTAATGGAATATGAGATGAGATGTGATCTGTGATATGATCTTGTTATTCATCTCAGCCAGATTTCTGGACTGGGCTCAGATCACTCCAATGGGGACAGAAGGAGTGATAAAAAAGGGCTGACTGGTCACTGGGGTGGGAATTGTTCTGCCTATGTGCCTCAAAACTAAAAGCCCTTTCCTTCAGTTCAACACATCCAGGACCTATGCATCATGTTTCCACAATCAGGAAAAAAATAAAGATATGTGCATTTGATACAAGGATACAGTGGGAGTCCAGCTGCCACAGGGTGGGAGTTGGAAGGACTGTGAGAAGAAAGTTCTGATTCATGCAGGATGCATTAACATCGTTCTGTAGAGCAGGGGTCTCTCCCCCCCCCCACCATTTTTGTAGTGGGGTGAGGTGACCTCCCCCTCTGCCTTCCCCCGCATCG